TGAAAGGAAAACAGCGACCAGTCGTGCGGCCTTGACTTTGAAGCAGAAGGGTGAGAAAAAAAAGAAGTAAGTTTTACCATTTGCAACAGCATGGATGGAACTGGAGAGCATTATGCTAAGCAAAACAAGCCAGTCAGGGAAAGATAAATATCACATGATCTCACTCATTTGTGGAATATAATGAACAACATAAACTGACGAACAAAATCAGATCCAGAGAAAGAGAAGCATCAATCAGACCGTCAAACCTCAGAGGGAAGGTAGGTGAGGGTAGGGGTAAGGGAGAGATCAACCAAGGGACTTGTATGCAGGAATATAAGCCTAACCAATGGACACAGACAACAGGGCGGTGAGGGTATGAGTGGGGTGGGGGTGGAGCAATGGGGGGATCAGGACACATATGTAATACCTTGATCCATAAAGAAAGAAGAAAAAATAAATAAAATCAATGGTCTACTAGTTTGAGACTTCATACTATTTGCTTTCTTCAACAGCTGATGTAGCTGAACCAACTTTTGTTTTGTAAAACATTTTCTCTCACTTCCATGTGCTTATTCTCTAAAGCATTTTCTCCTTCTTGGTTTATCATTACTTTGCAATTTTCTTTTTCTTTTTTTTTTTAAAATACATTTTATTGATTTTTTACAGAGAGGAAGGGAGAGAGAGATAGAGAGTTAGAAACATCGATGAGAGAGAAACATCGATCAGCTGCCTCCTGCACAACTCCCACTGGGGATGTGCCCGCAACCCAGATACATGCCCTTGACCGGAATCGAACCTGGGACCTTTCAGTCCGCAGGCTGACGCTCTATCCACTGAGCCAAACCGGTTTCGGCACTTTGTAATTTTCTTAACAGAATTTCCCACCCTAGCTTCTTATAGGAAAAAACCTCCACAATAAAACAAAACAAACAAACAAACAAACTTAAAACCACATAAAAAATACCCTAAAACATTAATGTCCTTCTGGATTGTGTTCTGTTTCTGGTCCTTTTCTCTTCTCCCCGAGATACCTCATTCACAGCCTTCTACCACACCCAAGCAAGCCATAATACTTCACAATCTCCAGATCCATGTTTCTGACTACTGGATATCTTTGCCTGGATGCTCCGCAGGCATCTCAAAGTTAAAATGCCCAAAGCTTATCTCTCCCTCCACCTCCTCCAAAACCTACTCCTCCTTTTCTATTCCCTATCTCACAAAGCGGTACCACTATCCACCCAGGAACCCAGGCCAGAAACCTGGGTGTCATTGTGAACTCCTCCCTCTCCACACTAAATGGCCCAGTAAGTATTCTTAATTCTGTATTTCTGCAACCCAATCTCTCCTCTCTAGCACCCTAAGAGACTTTGCCTAAATTCTTATCAATATTTTTCAACAATAACATCTTAGCGAGTCTGCCCTACTACCAGGCTCTGCCATTTCTAATTCTTTCTTTAGAATAAATGACATCAGACTTGGGATTTCACTATTGAGGAAAGTTTTCAAAAAGGTTTTGAGAAATGACATACAAGGCCTTTAATTTTTTGGGGGTGGGGGGTGTGTGTGGTCAGGGCACAAAAGACCCATCATCTACTCTCACTGTCATTTCATCATAATAATTTGAAAGTACTGCTCAACTTCAAAAAACAGAAAGTACCAAATTCTCAAAGCAGAAAAAGTTCTTTAAATATACTTGGCTTTATAAATGAAACAATTTTCTGGAGGGGAACCACTGTTCTAGAATCTAGGCTGCCATTAGAGTCATCTTTCACAAAGCAAAAATGACTAATTTTCCCTAGCTTGAAAACCTGTTTGTATTATGTAAACATTTAAATTTATCCACATAATCTACATGCATATCATTTTACTATCTTTTAATGGATACACAGTATGCATGGTATTGACCTGCTATTGATATATCTGTTGTCTTCTATTTTAGGCATTTTCTTAAATATTAAAATTTAAATATCCTTTGTCACATATCACCTCAAAGCCTTACAATAAAAGCCATACTCTTTACAGTAACATAGAAGGCCACTTATAATTTGGTCATAATTTACTTTTTCCTCAGCAAGAACTTCTCCTAAGCATAACACATTTTTTTCATGCCTCAACCAGAAGCAGTTCCCTGCCCCTTTCTCCAAGAGGATATTTGGCAATGTCTGTTATAGTCTGAATTGTGTCCCCTCCCAAATTCATGTGTTGAAGCCCTAAGCCCCCAATATGACTGTATTTAGGTTACACACACACACACACACACACACACACACACACACACACATATATACATACACACACACACACACAAACACAGGTGTTGGCAAAAGTAGGTTTATAGCTGTGAGTGAGAGTTAATAAAGCTATTGAAATAATCATAACCTGCTCACCCCTGTATATCATACAATTTATACATTTTAAAAGTTACATGTACAGAATTTTTAAACCATAAAGATATGAAAAAAATCCTTAGTATTTCCCTTAATGTCAAGCAATCACGCTTTCCCAATTTTTAAAACCATATATCTTGTTAACCCACTGCCAAATGTCACATAATATATGTGTGCCTTAAATTATTTAGACCATCATATAATCTACACAAATGGAAAATTTTTAAGAATATGATTTACTAACAATAATATTAGCTAACACATCACTATTGTGTCAGACATTGTACTATCTTAAGTGCTTTTTCTCCATTTTGAAATTTAATTTCCATATCCTATGATGTGGTATTATCATTATTCTAATTTTACAAATGAGTAAACTAAAATTTGGAGAGATTGACTTGTCCAAAGCCATACCAATAGCAAAGATATCAAAGAAAATAAGGCTAGGGGTAATTATGTTGTCCATTTTGGAATCAAAATTTTCTCAGCAAAAATACATTTTTGGACAAAATAATAAATGTGCTTTATAATAATACATTAAATTTATAATAGGATAAGTAACTCTCTAAGAGGGGAAAAAACTTGTTTTTTTCAGATTATCTAGGTAGCCACTTGAGACAAAATGACTTCATGTAATTAGCTAGCAGCTACTGGTATTGAGATAGGTGCATTTATTACAGGTTTTCTTAGATTCTTTTTTTTTTAAATATATTTTATTGATTTTTTACAGAGAGGAAAGGAGAGAGAGAGAGAGTCAGAAACATCGATGAGAGAGAAACATCGATCAGCTGCCTCCTGCACATCCCCCACTGGGGATGTGCCCGCAACCCAGGCACATGCCCCTGACCGGAATCGAACCTGGGACCTCTCAGTCCGCAAGCCGACGCTCCATCCACTGAGCCAAACCGGTCTCGGCATAGATTCTTATTTAGGTTTTCAACATTTCTTACTCTTCTATCCATTCAATTTTCTCTTGCAGAGAAAAACAAATGATGAAAATAGGAATGTCATGTACTATTTTAAGTACAGTTAACTTAGTTCCCTCAAACTCTTCAGCGTCCTGGAAAACAATCTTCCATCAAATATCCATTATCAAGCTTTTAAGATATGTATTGTTTTTTACTACTACCTTAAAGTTTTGTTTCCTTGCCTCTTTTCAGGAAAAAGACAGAAGTACAGTACAATCCCTTTGCAGCAAAGAAACAATATTTTTATTACAGCAGTTTTGCATCTTATTTTTGTCACTGAACAAACTTTACTTTGACATTGATAATTCTGTAGATCAACTTATACCTTAAACACCCCTGTGTCAAAATTCATCTATCAAATTTACTGGTTTTGTCCTCTGGGATCCTGTGTTTCCCGGGAAAACACAGGTAGTAACCATGACCCAAGTGTTCCCATAACTTAGTGAGGAGCTGAGATTTACAACAAAGCTTGTAGGCGTTTACAACAAAGCTTGTAGGCTTTTTTTTTTTTTTTTTTTTTTTAATGTAGCAGATTTTACTTATAAGGATGTTAAGAGCTTCTGGGAGTAGCTTTGCACTTCAACAAAGGTGAGCTTTGACTCCTCCTGAGGTTGACCAGCTACATCTTGCCCTCAATTTGAAGATCTTTCAGACCCTTTAAAAATTCACCAGCTTTGTGATAGACGAACTTAAAACAGAAAATAATAAATGAAGAAAGTATTAGCATCTTATTATTTCTTTTAAAATATATATATTTTTATTGATTTCAGAGAGGAAGGGAGAGGGAGAACATGATAGAAACATCCCGGGCATATGCCCTGACTGGGAATTGAACCCTGACCTCCTGGTTCATAGGTCGATGCTCAACCACACACCAGCTGGGCTATTTTACTATTTCTGTACATATTTGTTTCATTGGATGCTAAACTTTCTTCAGGGTACAGATTTTTATCTTATTCATTCTTGCATCTTTCACCAACAAAAAATTACTTCTGGTCTACTATCAATAAATATTGACTGAACAGATTTGAAATTTCAGTTGGGAAGGCAGCATACAGAATTATTAAACTTTTGGTGCCTGATGACCTGGGTTTGGATTCTAATAGTATTAACTTGCTGTATGACCTGGTACAAATTACCAAAACTCTCTAATTTCCTCAACTCAGACGTGGATTAAATGAGATAATGAAGGCAGAGTACTTGGCACTTCACAAGTACCCGTTTATACAATGGGTAACTACTAAGCTCCTACGACCCTCTAATTTAGAGGCAGGTATTGGCGGTGAGTACAAAACACGCAGGATTCCTGTCTTCGTGGAGCTGGGGAGACAGACATAAAACAATCACACAAATGAACTAATTACACGTTGCCACGGAGAAAAGGGTTGGGAACTCAATGAGAGGCTCCGGGGGCAGGGCCTGAATTAGGTCGCTGAGGAAGGGCTCCCTGAGGGAGTGGCGTTTAAGCTGAAACTCGAAGGACCAGGAAATTCTCTATTTCCCCATGTGCCTCACCTCTCTTTAGTCTGGCTTCCATCTGTCCACCTGAACAGCTCTTGCTAAGGTCCCCCAACGGCTTCCACCTGACATTTTTCTGTCCTTTTACTTGACCTTTTCGTAGCACTCAACGCAGCTGACCACTCCCTTCTAAAGACGAGGTCCTCCCTTGGCTTCTCTATAGTAAGCGCCTTCTCATCTCTTTCTCCCTTTGCAGGTTCGTCTCCTTAGTGCCTGGACGGCCTCCCCGCGAGCCGTAATTGTGAATAATAGCGCGGTCCTTTTGAGCCATAAGGAGTGTGTACAAGTGAGCACATCTCCCAGCCCCTCTTCTCGCTTTCAGGGCGCTTTATAAAACCGCGAATATCAAACTTTTCGGCTCCAATAGAGACTCCCTTTTCTCTGGCCGACGGCGCCTGCCCACCGGCACAAGCATCCAACAGGACCCCAGGCCGGCAGATACGCTCCGGGAATGAATGCCTGAGGCGTGGGAGGAGGCGGGTGTCGGGCCCTGCACCAGCCAACCGCAGCCAGGCCCGCCTCCGCCACGTTTCAGGCATCACCGCCGCTGCGCCGCGCCCCGCCGGAGGTGAGCCCGCCCCGCTTCCGCGAGCGCCGCAGGCTTTCCAGTCCTCCACCATCCCAGCATTCCCTGCGCCCCGCCGTGCAGAGCGGCTTCCGGCGTCGGTGGTGGAGGTGGGTGAAGAAGGAGCGGGCTCTCGCCGCTCGCTCTCACTCCCTCGCGCTCTCTCGGGCAACATGGCGGCGGTGGAGGAGCCAGCGTCCTCTGGGAGCCTCCTGAATGGCGACCTGGATCCAGACGACAGGGAAGAGGGAGCTGCCTCTACGGCGGAGGAGGCAGCCAAGAAAAAAAGACGAAAGAAGAAAAAGAGTAAAGGGGCTGCCACAGGTAAAGGGAGTTTTATGTTTTTCCCAGGGATGGCCGAACGACTCGGCTCAGGCCCGGCGTGGGTGTCAGGGACCAGGGACTCGGAACCCTGGAGTGGACTGATTCCCGGGACTGAGCGCGTGGCGAGGCCGGGCTACAGAGTCTCAGCCCCGCGGGGAGGCGGCTTCTCCTCCCGTGGGACTGGAGAGCTGGTGGAAGCGTGGGGAGGGAGAGCGGGGTCGGGTCGCTCAGCTTCCCTTGCGGAGCTCGCTCTGGGGTCCGTAGGCCGGGAGCCCCTGAGTTGCCAGAACTCGACTCCCACGCAGACTGTGCAGCGGACTTGAAGCCGTGCACCGCGCCCAGCCCTACCTACACCTTACTCGCGGTTTGGCTTCCTGAAAAACCTGCTTCTGACCCGCGCGGCCCGCCGCCGCTTGGCTGGAGCATCCTGGTACTCACTTTCGCAGACGGTGCGGGTGAAGTGGACAAGTCCGAGCGCCTGGACCGCGCCGCACCCCGCCATCCCAGTTTACAGAGGGATTTTTGGTGCGGGCTTCACTTTTGGGGGTGTGTGTATGCCCACGCGCTCATGTCACTGAGTTGTAATTGCAGAATGCCGGGGGGGCGGGGGGGCGGGTGTGCGCGCGCGCGCGCGCTAATTTTCACTCGCCTAATCCCACGGCGTCATCAAGCGTTAGTGTTTTTAGGCCTGAATTATAATGGCATAGCAGGCCGCCTAGCTAGAGGATACATTCTGTGGCTCAGAGTCGAACTTCTCCAAATCCACTGGTAAGGCAGGAAAACAGCTAAAAACTTAACACTTGGGTTATATTAAGAGTTATTTTATTATTTGCACCTGTTTCATTTTTAGGAAAAAACTATCTCTTCCTGTGAAAGCCATAGAAAGAATGAAAGAAAAATGGAGAGGCCAGAAGTGATGAGCGTGGAGTTGAGAGAGGTTGGAGAGGTTTAATCTGTCTGAAATGTTGATTAGATGGGAGTTGAAGAGGGAGAGTTGTAGGTGCTGAGACACTCCCAGAACACAAGTTAATCCCAGGACACAGGCTAGTGGCTCTTCTTGGCTTTCAGATGAAGTCCAAGCTCTTCAGTTTGGTCTTTAAGGTGTGCTTAGCAGACTGACCCTAATACATGTTTAGCAGGACATTCCCAATATGAATGTTCTACAAAGGCCAAAATGTCACTTTATTATGTACTACCTCATATTACTATCTTTCTGCACACGCATATTCCTCCTCTAGCGAGATTATAATCACTGCCAGAGCAGGGGCCTGGTCTTATGCTTAGCTGTTCAAGAATTTTTTGTTTTAGTAATGGAATGTCTTTTTCTATTTATTTTGATTTTACCTAGCCCAGCTTGACAACTTTTTTTCTTCATGAATCCCTGAAGGCCCCCAGTGTCCCACAGAAATCCTCTTCCTCACTAAGGTCTTCAGCATTTATTGCCTATCTTAAGTACTTGTTTGATTAGTAAAGTATTTGTTGTAGTTTAATTGTTAAATACTTTAAAAAGTTAAAACTACTTAAATATAGGGACCAACTCACACTTTTGCTTAACCTTTAGCTGCTATCACAGAGAATGTATTTTGTTGAATGGACAATACTACTTAGATTTGGGAGACTTTTCTTTGTCATTAAATAAATTCTGTTAATGTTCACAATAATGTTTGTTTTTGTTTCCTAAACACCTATCAGGAAAGGACTTGTGTGTTCTTCACTATCTGTAGGACATATTCTAGCGTTAAAGTATCTTTATTAGATTTGATTTATGCTATTATATTTGATTAGCAGGGCAACAGGAACCTGATAAAGAATCAGGAGCCTCAGTGGATGAGGTAGCAAGACAATTGGAAAGACAAGCATTGGAAGAGAAAGAAAGAGATGATGATGATGAAGGTAAATGATTAATTTGGTGTTTGTGTTTATAAAAGCAAGAAAGTACTACGTTCTTCAATCGTTTTTTTAATCCTCACCCAAGGACAGGGATCCTCAAACTATGGCCCGCAGGCCACGTGCAAATACAAATACTGTATTTGTTCCCGTTTTGTTTTTTTACTTCAAAATAAGATATGTGCAGTGTGCATAGGAATTTGTTCATAATTTTTTTTAAGCTACAGTCCGGCACTCCAACGGTCTGAGGGACAGTGAACTGGCCCCCTGTTTAAAAAGTTTGAGGACCCCTGCCCAAGGACATGCTTTTATTGATTTGAGAGAGAGACAGAGAAAAACATTAATGTGATGTGAAAGTGAAACATTTATTGGTTGCCTCCCACGCATCTTCAATCAGGGCTCAAACTCCCAACCTGTGCCCTGACTGGAAATGGAATCTGCCACCTTTTGGTGTATGAGACTATGCTCTAACCCAGTGGTCGGCAAACCCCGGCTCGTGAGCCACATGCGGCTCTTTGGCCCTTTGAGTGTGGCTCTTCCACAGAATACCATGTGCGGGCGCACACGTACAGTGCGTTTGAAAATTTGTGGCCCATGTGCAGAAACAAGTATACAAGACGTGTGGATGGGAGAGTTGGAAGGGGTCGACCTCAGCGAACGTACCTCAATCAGATTGAGGACATTTTTAGCAAAGGCCAGCTTAGGAGTACCCTAATTAAGTTAATAACAATGTACCTACCTATATAGTTGAAGTTTAAAAAATTTGGCTCAAAAGAAATTTCAGTCGTTGTACTGTTGGGCTTTGGCTCTGTTGACTAATGAGTTTGCCGACCACTGCTGTAACCAATTGAGCCACACTGGCTAGGGCATGACGTTCTTTAAACAAAATCTACTTATTTGTCCATATAGTCTATTATTTTCTGACTTCTTAATTGACAATAAAATAAAACCTCAGTGTCACAGATACAAAGGGAAAGAAATTTATTAGCAACTCTTTAAAAAGTTGGATATATTGAATGATTGCTCAAACAATACAGTTCTCAACTTTTAAAAATATACTTGGGCCCTAGCTGATTTGGTTCAGTGGCTAGAGCCTCAGCCTGTGGACTAAAGGGTCCCCGGTTCAGTTTCAGCCAAGGGCACATGCCCGAGTTGTGGGCTGGATCCTTAGTAGGGGGCATGCAGGAGGCAGCCAATTGATTTTTTATTATATATATATATATATTTATTTTAATGTATTTGGTAAAAGGCCAAGTAGTGGGTATTAATAGGATAAAATTGAAGGGTTGTTTATTTAACTTTTATTTAACTAACATTTATTGAACAACTAATATCTACTATCCTAGGATACTTTCACATGCATTCATATTTTACCCGTGCAAATAAAGTAGTTGCTCTTCTCAGGAAATTATAGTTATATGATTTTCCCAATGTGATACAGCTAGTATGTGTAGAATAGAACCAGAATTTCAAACCTAGCACTTGACCCCAAGTCTATTCCTTTCACTCTCTGTACCAAAGCTACTTTTTTTTTTTAATTCTCAAAGGAGCATATTGGAGTGCTTCTGAACTCTATTATAAATTCCCTGATCCTAGTTCCTTGTGGTATTTTGGTGCTGTTAGATTTGTGTAAGCATGGCAAGTCTTAGAATTATAGGAATTGATGCTATCGGTAAGACAGTGGAGGGGATCATTAATTAAAAGAACTGCTCTATAGCATCTTTTGGCAGAGGGGGAGATAGGGCTTTCCCATTCTCAATTATTTACTGTTTTGACCTATTGCTATACCTCAAGCACTGCCAGCTTGAGTTTTTGCCTTTCAATACTTAAAACAAATACCTGCTATATTTTAATTATTGTGTTAGGGTAATGCAGAGCAGTTGTTTTTTTCCTCTAGATAGGTATGTTCTGCCTTCAAAAAGCTTACAGTCAAAATTTGGTTTAAAAAGTGCCAAGATTACAGGGAATAGTTGGCTTTTTGACTTCTTTGAGCAAACCTCTTGTTCATTCTACCTTTCCTTATGCTTCAGATTAAGAACATATTTTGAGCTCTTAAGGAAGGGTTTTTTGTTTTGTTTTTTAATATATTTTTATTGATTTCACAGAGAGGGCGAGAGAGATAGAAGCATCAGTGATGAGAGAGAATCATTGGCTGCCTCCTATACTCCCCCCGGATCAAGCCCACAGCCTGGGCTTGTGCCCTTGACTGGAATCAAATCCGGGACCCCTCAGTCCGCAGGCTGACGCTCCAGTCACTGAGCTAAACCAGCTAGGGCAAGAAAGGGTTTTATAAATTCAAAGTAATATAATAAGTTGCTGTAGACCTTTTCTATATGTAGAATATCACAGTACTGATCTTGAGTGTGCCTAGTTCCATTGCACCTCTACAAAGTTGTGTGACTCTTGACATTGAAGGGGAAACTTTTGCTTGTCAGATTGGACATCTTCAATGTATTAAAGAAGATTTTAGTTTTCTCCAATTTTATCTAATTGTTTTTCCAATTCATTTCAATAATCAGTTTCAACCAGTAGTACTAATCTGGTGTGAGAAGTCTTTGAGTGGATGGAAAGCTATTATTTCAGAATCTTTGTTTTAAGGAAAGCTGGTGGTGGAGAGACAAAACCTATAGGTGAAAAGATAAGCTACAGTTAAGTTTATTGGTATTTGGAGATGGAATTGGCTGAATGCTGAAGAAGTCTCATTAATTAAGATAACTACTCTACAGTATCTTTTGGCAGAGAGGGAGATAGGGCTTTCCCATTCTCAATATGGGACTTGAATAAAACCTAACAGAAGGAACCATTGGGGAGGGAGGGCAGGTGGAACAATATTGTGAAAGTCTTCAGAGTCTAATGAACAATGCATACTGGTCATATAAGATCCATTGAGGGAGGCTTTGAGCACTTTTATAAGAAGAATGTTATGAAAAAAAATTTCATATATAATCTTCATATATATTCACAATTGTTAAAAAAGAGGATATATATAGGAAAGATAGGAAGATCATTTTGGAGATCACAACAATAGTTTATGCATGTGGTATTAAGTTGGTGATTATAAATGAGAATGAGAGTGAAATATTGACCATCAACTGCCTCCTGCAAACCCCCCACCGGGGATCAAGCCTGAAACCAGGCATGTGCCCTGACTGGAAATCGAACTGGTAACCTTTTGGTGCACAGGACAATGCCCAGCCAACTGAGCCACATTGGCCAGGGCTCAGGGTAATTAATACTTGTGAGAGTCATCAGTTGTATATATATCAGTAGTTCACTACTTTTTTTTGCTGAGTAGTATTTCAAATTTGTTTATCCATTTACTGGTTGATGGATATTTATAGTTTTTGTCTATTTCAAATAAAGTTACTGTGAACATTTGCATACAGGCCTTTGTGTAGACATGTTTGCATTGCTCCTGGGTAAATAAATACCTAAGAGTAGGGTTGTGGGTCATATGTCAAGTGTATGTTTAATCTCATAAGAAACTCTTCCCAAATGTCTACCATTTTTCATTCCTGTCAGCAGTGGTGGAGAGTGCCAGGTTCTTTGTATTCTCATAAGCACTTGGCATTGTTAGTTTAAAAGTTTTAGCTTTTGTAATAGGTGTGTGGTGGTATGTCATTGTGGTTTTAATTTGCATTTCCATAACTGATGATGGTGAACATCTTTTCATATTTTTATTTGCCTTTCATGTATCTTTAGTGAAATGTTTTCCTATTTTGTCCATTTTTCAATTAGATTATGGCAGTGGTTCTCAACCTGTGGGTTGCGAACAATGAAAATACATCCTGCATATCAGATATTTACATTATGATTCATAACAGTAGCAAAATTACAGTTATGAAGTAGCAACGAAAATAATTTTATGGTAGGGGTCACCACAACATGAGGAACTGTTTTAAAGGGTTGTGGCATTAGGAGGTGGAGAATCACTGAGGGTCTTGTGCTTTCTTTGACCCATCGGTATTTGCATATAATGTTTCCTCCACTTAGTACCTTTTTCTTGCCCACCTTTTGTCACCTGGTTAAATGCTACCCATCCAAATATCATGTCCTTCAGGAATCCTTCCCTGACATTATAAGGGCCTTTCTATACTGTTGACAAGCCACATTATAACTAGGTATCTGCACAATTTCTCCAATTAGACTTAAATTCTGTGACGGTAGGGCCCATGCTGCCTGGTTTATCCTTATATTCCAAAGACTTAGTAAACCTTCAGAAACAGAATATGTATTTTGTCAATATATGCAAAATTGCTTTAATGGGAAGTAGTAATACAGGATTCCTGTTAAGGGGACCAACTCCTTATGACCTATTGCAAACTAATCAACCTCTCTAAGCCTCAGTTTGATTTTGAAAAATTGGGTAATCTTTACACTCGTTGTGATGACTAAATGGGAAGATGTTTTTAAAACCTCTTACAGGGTACCTAACATATAACAAATGCTTATAAATATTAACTATTAATATTTATACTTAGAAAGCAAT